AAAAAAAAAAAAAAAAACAAGTTTATGGAACCCAGGTTAAGAACTCCACTAAAGGCCTTGGTCACTGTCTATTGAATTCCAGAATATAAAAACCCAGCTAGTAAATGTGTGAGGCTGAATTTGAACTCAGTTCTTCCTGGCTCTCAGCTCAGTCCTCTCTTCACTGCTCCACCTAGCTGCCCCTATAATAAAATGCATAGGATTACAAAAGAAACCAATTCTAGTGAAATACACTTATCAAAATGTTAAAAAAAAAAAAAGAACAAGTTTATAAACCCCTTGCGAAAGGCCTTCCTCACTGTCTATTGAATCCCAAAATGTGAATTAACACTAAAGGGATCATCCACCACACATTCCCCATGCATGGATCCTGGCTCGAATTCTCGGGACATTTTGCCATCAGGGAGTCTTAGCTCAAATAAATGGTCATCCAGCCTCTGTGGCAATACTTCCAGTGACAGGGTGCTCACTATCTCTTGAGCAGCTCAGATTGCTTGAAAAGTCTTGGTTATATTGAGCTGAAAGGTGCCCTTTCATAATCTGAAAAATAATTGTAATCTCTCTTCTATGTGAACACCCTTCAGATACCTGAAGTGACAGATCTCTTTCCCCCAGTTCTTTCAACCAAGGCTTGGATATGACATGGTTTCCAGTCCTCTCCCCATCATGGCCATCCCCCTGTGTCCATTCACTGGGTTCACAGACTCCAGATGTGGTCTGATCTAAGCAGTGGAAAGTGGTACAACCATTCCAGATACTCCTGATCCAGAGACAAAGCTGATCGTGTTTGGACTAATGTTTTCAGAAATTACTCTGACTTAAAATATCAATATGGGTCCTGTTTCCTCTAAGCTACTGATTTGCCTTTCAAACTCTGACTTCTTTTTAGCCCTGGTTCCCCAGATACCTCTCTGGGCCCAGCCCTCATCCCTGAAAGGGAAGGCTTCACACAGGTGTCCCTACCTTCCCTGCCCTCAGCCCAGAGCCCAGATGCCCACCAATCTCTCCCCCTCATTCTGGCCATAGTCAGACATAGAAAATACATACCATCCTCCTGTATAATATCTGAGGCACACTGTTCCAGGACAGACATGTTTGCCAATATTGTCACAATCTGGAAGAAAGAACATTGGCTCAGAAAGGGAACCACAGAATGCCAAAGTCCTTCCCATTTTGGATGAAAGAAATATTCTTTCATCTAATATATGGTCATGTGTTTACCACTTGCTCAGGCATTTAAACAAAAATGTTTCCTTCAATCAAAGTGGGATTCCACCATATCACAGGGTTTCCATGATGATAGGTTTCCATTTATTAGGTCCAGTTAATAGGTTTCCATTAAGAAGGAAGTATAATTCTGTAAGGCCTATGGTACAGTGAAAAGAGGTCCCTTAGCCAGTGACTACTGGAGTCCCATAACCTCTGCCTTGGGACAATGGGAAGGGTTCATTATAAGATGGTATCGGGGATACAGGAAGCTATTACTGCCTTACAACACAATGACATCATTACCTAGTCCTTGGATGCTTCCTGCGCCTAAGACCTCAGGCAGCTCACAGCACAGCCCAATGCTCAAAACTTTCCCAAGGAAACACCCAAGACAGTGGCACACAAACAGAGACATACACAGAAAGCTGCACCCATTCCCCATTTCCCCTAGAGTAGAGCTACATACAATGCTCTCATTGGGAACAGGGAGAGAAAGGATCACTGTTCTGGAATCTGCTTTGAGAGCCAGACCTGAAGATGAATAATGAAAAGTATGAGATAAGCCCTGGGGTGTCCCAGAAGGTTATGGTAGTCCAAAGAGTACCCCCCAGCCCCAAGGGCCTTGTTGTTTTCCACCTCCATGTTTGAGGGAAGTGGGTTGTCCTCATTCCTGGAATATCTTCCCTTCCTCTTTCTTCACCAACTGTGTTTCTACCAAATCTTTAAAGGCCAAGTTGAATGCCACCATCTACAGGAAGTCCTCTCTGATCTCACCATCTTCACTCTCAGACCTCGCATCCCACATTTATTGTTACCTGGGTTTGTGTCCTATCCCTGCACTAGACTCCAAGCTCCCTGAGGCAGCTTAATGGTGGAGTGGATAGAGCACCCAGCCTTGTTGCTAAGTCATTTCAGTTGTGTCTGACACTCCATGACCCCATTTGGGGTTCTCTTGGCAGAAATACTGGAGTGGTTTGCTATTTCTTTCTCTAACTCATTTTACAGTTGAGG